CCACCACCAACACCACCACCACCTCTGTTCCCATCAATGCTCCTGCCACTAGAAATGTGGCCTCAGTGCCAGTTTATCTCCTTTATAATCATACCTTCACACCACGCATCGATCTGGGTGGTCGCTTACGTATCCGTCGAACAGAGGCTGACGTAACATTGCTCAGAGCTCCAGTATGCGTCTGGTTCGTCCGCCTAAAGTGCTCATTCGGACACACAGTCACTGCACGCACCAACTCGGTCATATATGCCTCCCTGAAGATGCGCAGGCAAACGCCACAAAACCTTCAGACCGATCAACACATTGTACGTAAACACGTTCGTATCACATATTCCCTGCGCAGAACATGCACCTCTTACGAAATTATGTACAACATAGTGCCAATCCAGCTTGTTTGTGGTCCGGGAAGACGATCGCACTCAGTTAGGCCATCTCTAGATGGTTGATAGGCTCTGACGGTCGATTGGTGCGCGGTTGGGGTAAGATAGAGTGCTGTCTGATGTTAGGGCCCCCGTCTCCACCAGAGTTCGTCCGCTCATTCTTCATTATAATAAATCGTAGGCGGTCGAATTTATAACGACATGCCAAAGGTCGTGACTACTAAGGTTTCCGATCGGAAAGATAAATGGATTCTCTGAGGACGAGATGTCGGGATGCAATGTCTCCTCATTAACGAGGCTGTATTATACTCCCACACGGATGCAGTCCGACCAGACCTCTTATTTAGCAGACAAATCTTATCCATCTTGAAATAATTCAGTTGAAAGTCAACGATCTGTATTCACCCTGTTCTAGACCACATGCTGGTCAGGGTTGCTTGAGACGGTCGAACTGACGGACTTGAAGTTCGTCAGTCCTTGGGACGAATGTTCTTGTGGCGGTCCAATATCACGACCGCAATATATTAGTCTATTTCCAGCTTAGATTCTGATCTTACTGGCTCTTATCCTAGATCAATCCCGACGATATCAATTGTCTTGGAATGACAATGTCGGCAAAGGTGACATGTTAGTTCCCTGACTCTGTCTGCTTGAATAGAAACGAAACGGATGAGCAGTACCAGTCTTTGTGAAAAAGATCATCTCATTTCTCCCGCCAAACCATGTCTTGGAAAGAGAATATCTAGATATAACTGTAAACTTCTGCATCTTTGCTCTGCTCTCCAGAAACCTAGTCCTTCCGCTACGTCAGTATTGTACAGAAGATTTCTTTCTTCGAACAGAGGTCAAGTGCATTATTTTGGCCGGCCAGAGACAATACTCTACTCAGGAGGATGGGTAAAAGTAGTAATGTTGTTGCTGTTCGAATTTTGTGTCATTGAAATAGTGTTGCTATGGGAACAGCTGCCGAAGAAAATACAGAACGAGGCAAGTGCAGGAAGCCTGGGTGTCCAGCGACTGCCCTGTCAACCACCACATCATTTTGCCTCCCCCCTATCTGACTTTACGAACCTTCTTAACGGGGAACAGTCACGGCGCAGGACAATCGGGGCCGTCAGTCATCTCCGCGGCCGACGGTGACGATTCAGGTCACGGTGACACACGGGTTGGAGGCGGCCACACAGGCGGAATTAACGGGTCATGCGTCGAACAAAGTGTGCCATATAATAGGAACTGTGCGCAGGACTCTCCAGTCTCTGAAGATGTATAGACGAATCAACTACTCGAAACGACGGACCCCCAATATACCCCTCCCAGTGAACGCCTCTTCTTCTTTTGATATGCCACCCGGGAATCCCATTTTTACTACTACTGACAAGTTTTTGTATTTTCACGTTATTTTATTTACTCCAGCCGCTGTTTTCGAGCCGAAAAGCAAATTTACCGACAATCTTTATTTATCTTGGCTCATATTTACGCAACCATAGACCCCAACCATTAAACTCTTATTACCACCTTTCCCGTAAGACAGGCTGCTTCGGCTGGTAGTATTATTTCAGGGGTCCTCTCCCGATTGTTACCGGCGCCTGCTTCGAGCACGAATATTTGTCACATATGCCAGGAGTCTGCGATTGCTCAGTGTTAGGGTTCCGCCCGATAATTCAGGATCGGCGTTTAGATTCCATCCTTAGCGATAAGTCTTCAGGACATGGAGAACAAGTGGTTCCCGCATTTTACCTCTAAATCCTTAACGGACATCTGTTTCTAACCGCGGCTCATTAGATTGCGCCTTGCTTCCTATGATCGAGAGCTCACTTTCAAATGGAAGGCGACCACACATGGCCAGTTTCGCAACGTACAAAGCCATTCATTTTCAGATAAACATATGAATACGTCCCCCCATCCCCTACCACACCCCGATGCTTGGCCCTACTCCCTGCTGTGTGGGGAGGCACATAACAGAAGGGCTCGCCGATGATGGAGACAGAAACAGCAGACTGCAGAACCGTCAACAAGGAGCAAACAGTCAGTCAAAACAAACTGCTTTAGTTGTGGCAACATCACATCACGTGCTTAAGGGCGCGCACGTGGCCGCGCGTGACTGCGACATGCAGCGACATTTTACTGCATTCTGATTGGCATGCCGGAACCGTCCAATGGACGAAGCGGGCTGTCTTTTGGCTGTGCCATATAAGTAGCCTTGATTGATGCGCGCTCCAAATTCGGTGGTTTTTCAGAGTTCGTAAGTTGTCTTTCGGTTGTTCTTTCCCGTCAACTGTTTTCGTTTGGTTATTTCCTTAGTTTGTCGAATTTTCACATTGCGGTAGGCTTTTATTTCATCCGTACCGTCTCGTAATCTCGACAGATTATTAGTAAGTTGTGTAAATCAAGGCAACTCATAGTTTGATTTTCTCTCGAAAGTGTTCTAAGAAACGAAGTGGAGAAATTTCGTGATGGCTAGGTGAGGCTTGTTTTGGACAAATTGGAGTGTAGACGTCGGCCAGAATTTGATATGGACAAGGCTTGCCCTTGATAACAAGGCAACGTGACGCTTGCAGTTACTCAACTTGCAAGTGGAGTCCTCAGAATGCTCGCAGGATTCTCCGAACACACACAAACCCACAAACACAAAAACGCACGCACACACACACACGATAGTTCGACCGTCGATTTCGACGATGTCCACCGCATGCCCCACCTCAGCAGTGCTGGGAGCAGGGACGGTGACTTACGCAGGGGTTTATAGTGCCAGTAGACTTGCGTAGCATCTACCTGCACTCTCTCCTCCTCCCCCGCCTGAGACCGATGTGCAGACAGAGTCAAGAAGACCGGAGACGAGGGAGGCCGCAGGTGGATGGCTTGGACGGATCCTCACCTTGGCATTCCACCACACCCCCTGGTCCACACAACAAATAACCAGGTTTTTGACCAACACAACAGAGATTGGAGGCTGGCACGACCGGAGCCGCACCTAGGCGTGCCGTCAACTCCTGGCTCGGATCCCACACTGTGGTGGGAATGACATAAAGGCTACCTTAATAAGGAGCCATTGCAGCCTGACTCTCAGACCTCCAGGCAAGGAGGTCCAAGTTATCCCGTCAGTTGGCAACCTTCCAAGCCACGGCTTTTAGCGCACCGTGATAGCTTCAAGCCCGTCAGATTGTTTACAGAGAGGAAAGTGCAATGAGTCGTCGACCTCACTCTCCCTTTCCATTCCCACATCCCAGCCGCTGTCAGAGCCGGTGAGCAGACTGAAGTGGGGAATGGGCGCGGTGGCTGGCATGATCGACTCCCCATGTCTGCGTGCGCCACGTGCACGACTTGGCCCCTCAGACACACACGAACAAGATTTCAATCCAAGGGGGTTGGACGGCGTGTCTCTCACTTGCGTGAGAGGGCCGTGGAAGGTGCTGTTTCAGCCCGTCTCCCAGCCCACCAGTCCGCCACTCCACGCAACATGCACACAACGTGACGGACTGCGTGGACCGAGTGTGAGTGTCAATCAACAACCTCCCCATCCACGACGCTTGACGTGTCGGGATAGTCTCATGCTCAAGTCGCCAGTGCAGCCGAAGCCGTTTGTGGGGCGAGTCAAGATGCACACCTCCCACATGCATGGTAGGTGGCGTCTGGATGCTTGCGGTGGGTGAATGTTTATGTGTGGTGGGGTGGTGTTGGTGGTGGTGAGGGAGGGAGGGGTGGTGTGATGTTGTGGTGCAGCCGGCGGTTGTCAATCACAGGTGTTCGTGGATGCGTTTGTGGTCAACTAGGCCCATGCGATGCGAAGATGTGCGAGGACAGCGTGGGCAGTGGAGTCGAGTGCGGTGGGTGTAGGTTGGTGCTTCATGCACTGGTTTGTCAGCCTCTATGCGATGGATTCGCAAGTGACCGACCAGGCGGATGTGTGAGGTGAAGGTGCGGTCGCAGTGAGGGCAGGTGTAGTATTGGTTCTCACCTCTGGAGTCGGAGGTTGTGGGGTGGTGTCTATTGTTGTGTCTGGGATGTGTTTGTTGTTGGTGTGCGGCCTTCGTTGGGACAGTGGAGGAAGATAATGGAACTGGTGGTTCAGAAGTGCAGTCAGGGTTAGTTGGCAGCGGAGACGACGGGGAAGAGGCGGCTGGAGGGACGACGGTTGGCGTGGTCCGAGAGGCGCAGTTGCGTACTGGGCGAGATTGTGATTTGAGGGCTTCGCGTTTCACTTTGTCGGTGGCGATGCGGTTGGCCTCGTAGATCGCAGAGCCTGTCTTCACGTTCCTCCTCCAGGTCGGTCGATCGCGGTCGACGTCTTCCCATTTGGCCGGGTTAATGTGCAGACGCATCAGGGAGGACTTTATAGTGTCATTTTATCGACGAATTTGGCTTCCTTGACGGCGAGAACCCGTCGAAACTTTTCCGTAGAAGAGTCGTTTGGGTAGTCGCTCGTCGTCCATGCGCACCACATGGCCGCTCCAGCGCAGCTGCATTTGTCTCAGTATGGCGTAGTTGCTGAGGATTCCCGTTCGTTCTAGTACTTCCGTGTCGGGGATTCGATTCTGCAAGTTCAGCCTCAGGATGCGGCGGAGACAACTGAGGTGGAAATGGTTCAGTCGGCGTGCCTGCCTCGTGTACACCGTCCAAGTCTCCGCTCCATGCAGTGTCGTCGACAGGATGACGGCCTTGTACATCTTCAGCTTCGTGTTCAGTTGGAGACCGTGGCGATTCCAAACTGTGCTTTGGAGGCGGCCGAAGTCTTGACTGGCTTTCGACATCCTGTTGGTGACTTCGTCGTCGATGTTGGTGTTGCGGGAGAGGGTGCTGCCCAGGTACGGGAAGTTCTCCGCCACTTTCGGTTGGGTTCCGTTCACTCTGATTTGCGGCAGCGCGTTTGGGGGAGTGGCGGTGTTGGGTGGCGGTTGATACATGACCACCGTCTTCTGTGTGCTGATGACCAGACCGAAGTTCTCGCAGGCGACGGAGAATAGATCCATGCTGCGTTGCATCTCCTCTTCCGAGGTGGTGTTCAGGGCGCAGTCGTCGGCGAAGAGAAGTTCGTGAACGGTGGTTGTGGATACGCGCGATTGGAAGTGCATCCGCCGTTGATTCTGAAGGTGACCGTCCGTCCTGTAGGCGATGCGGATCCCAGGGGCGTTCGTCGCGGTAGGCGTCAATCAGCATGACAGAGGATATAAGACTGAAGAGGGTAGGCGCCAGCCCGCATCCCTGCTTCACTCCGTTGGTCACTACGAATGACTCTGAGACAGCTCCGTTGTCCGTGACTCGCGCCATCTTGCCGTCGTGCAGCTGACGCACCATCTGAATGAATCGTTCGGGACAGCCGAATTTCCGCATGATCTTCCATGGACCTTCACGATTTACCGTGTTGAAGGCTTGTGTCAGGTCCACGAAGGTAGAGTACAGGTGGGTCCGCATCTCCTGGCACTTCTCCTGGAGTTGACGGGCGGCGAAGACCATATCCGTGGTCTCGGATGACGACGGAATCCGCATTGGCTTTCCGATAGAAGACCCTCTTCTAGATGATTATTTAGACGGTTCAGGAGGATGCGAGCGAAGATCTTCACGGCGATGTTCAAAAGGCAGTGCCGCGGTAATTGTCGCAGACTTCGCGGTTTCGTTTTCGCTTATAGGGATGCACGATGGTTGCGTCTTTGAAATCTTGCGGGACTTCAGCTTCACGCCACATCACCTGGAAGAGCGCAGTCAGGTGATCCATCAGTTGGGGACCTTCTTGCTTGTAGACCTCATCAGAGATCGCGTCCGATCTGGGTGCTTTCCCGCTGGAGAGCTGCTGCACGGCCCTGATGATCTCCTGGAGAGATGGCGGGAGGTCGAGGTCCACGTTGGTCTCCACTTGCGGCAAGCGGGCGATGACGGCGTCGGAGATGACGGAGGGGCGGTTGAGGACGCCTCGGACATGCTCAGCCCGTCGTTGTAGGATTTGCGTCTTCTCAGTCAGGAGAGTGCTGCCGTCGTCGCTGAGGAGAGGAGCAGTGCCCTTCGTCGGCGGACCGTAGACAGCTTTGATCGCAGAGAAGAAGTTCTTCCATTCTTTGCGGTCCGCGTAACCTACGATCTCCTCAGCTTTGCGCGCAGTCCAGGCGTCCTGCCTCTCGCGCGGTCGCTGATGCAGTTGCTGTCGCTCCTCCTACTTTCTTCATTTCTCGCACCCATTTAGACTCTTAAGTAATGGTTGATCGCGAGTTCGACCGCTTGCCATTGTGTGAATGACGTTTATCGCTATGCCACTTTTGGTGTAATGTTGCGCCGCTCAGGTATGTATTCAGATACGACAACCGCCGTTTTAGTGTTTACTATCTATCTGCAGCAAACCCTTTCGGAAATGAAGGGGGTGGAGAATTTCTCAAGTAAATTCGATTGGAATTGGTATTTGTCATTCTCAGAATTTATATTATGCTGAAATTTCAATGAGGTGTATTTAACTGTGATTCTTCCTTACATGCCCTTCATATTCCACCATCTGACAGGCTGAATCATGGCCAGAATAGGCAGAGGTGTACAGATAGGTCTGTCCTGGGTAAAGACAAAACCTGGTGACACTCCAGACGGAGCCATTGAAGTAGAGCCTGGCATCTACGTCTGCCGCGCCCTCTACGAGGGTGAACAAATACCCGGAAAGTACATTCCTGCAATGTGCAAAGCCTTTGTTCCCTACGCTGGCCGTGGACGTTCGGTAAAGGATTGTGAAGTACTCTGTGACACTCGTTGTTGTGGACAGTCTTGCTGGTAAGCAGAGTGACAGAACCATATCTCTTTATTGAAGGTTTTCCGTACTAGCGCGTACTTAGGACATTTATTATGGCCAATACTCAGCCTGCTTGGGCCAGTGGTCTCTATCCCGCAGTCAAGGAGACATTTTGTGCGAGTTTAGTTGGGATTTTGGTGGTCATTGGGATAGTGTGATGGGTCGCAATACCAGTGAATTAGTCCACGCAGACATGCAGTCGACATGTGCATAACGATGCTGGCATTGACGCATCAGCTGATGAGACATCCGGGTGGCTGACGCAGGGCTGGATCCTGCAGGGGCGTTTGTGAAAATCACATTTCTTTGCTACCGAAATGTATTAAGTAGCGCGGTTAAATAAAGCATGTTTATTTTTGGTGTTTAGGTTCAGTTCAGTTCAGTTCAGTTTATTGAGGGAAATAGGCGTAAGCCTTTGAGTACCCTATTTGCAACGTAAAAAATATGTGGTGTACAGATAGATGTTCTGGGCTGAAATAGTTCGAACACGCCCATAATGGTGGGACAAAATGAGAAGGAGTTACAGGGGGTGAGCTCGACTTCTCATCGCTCTTGGTCATTTGGGAACATAAATATGTCCAGATTCTTCTTAAAACTTTGTATAGATGGTGACATCACAACATCTGCGGGAAGCTCATTCCACGGTTTGACCACCCGAACCGAGAAGGAGAACTTCCGCACATCCAGCCGTGCCTGCTGAGTGCGCAGTTTTAACGGGTGACCTCGGAGGTTGGTCGTGGTAGCAAATTCAAAAAAGTCCTCGAAGGCCAGACTGCAATTCAACCCCTTTACAATGCGGAAGGCTTGCAAGAGATCTCCGCGAAGTTGCCTGTAACTCAAAGGAAAGAGGTTCAGATTTACTAGGCGGGTCGCATAAGGAAAGTAGCTTTGACCCCTGACCATATTCGTGGCTCTCCTCTGGACTCTTTCGAGGCAGTTTTGATCCACAACACCCCACGGCCTCCAAGCTTGTATGCCGTACTCTAAATGCGGCCGGACGAATGTTCCGAATGTCTTAGAGAAGGCTTCTTCGTCAAAGTCCATA